TATAGCACAGCTCAAGGAAAAGGGCCCAGTTCCTTTTTAAAGGCAGTTGTGGGCGGAGCTTCAGGGCAACCACCTGGTGTAGACTCGGAGGACAAAGTGCTGTTTACCTATTACACTTGGAACGGTTTGTATGGTGTCTTATTCATTTGCCATTATTTTAACTTTAGATGATGTACCCAGGGCAAAATCTCTACGTCCTTATGTTCCCCAGCATATGGTTAGCTAGCTGAAGCGATGGCTGGAGTGTAAGACTTCCATTAAAAGGAAACAAAGCAAAACTAGTATTTCCACGCAAACCTGGCCCATTAGCCATGCCCATTTTCTATACTATTAGCTGATTGGTTCATAGAAAATATTTGTGTAGCTGTCCATTTACTCAAACTAAATGTGTTCACAATTGATAAGCACAGCTGTTATTGTCTAAACTAATGTTAAATATCTGGATTATCAAAATGCAAATGATTTCAAGGCATTAGTACTTCAAAGAGGATGTTAGAAATGTTTAAATATTTATCATGAAAGCTCGAAGTCAAAGATGAAATTCGCTTTCGAATGAAATCTTTTCAATATTTCTTCGTTTTGAACCAAACGGAAACAAATGATACTAAATATATAGCACAATAGGTAATGAACTAGTTTGTATGGATGGATGTATCCCAAATCAATTATATATTGACTTGTTTGGGAATTACTGGCCACTTCGTCTTTTGGCTAATTCGGCCGAATTATATATGATAAAACTCGATATAAATAGGCGCAGTGTGGGGGGTGGTAAAATGCTCAGGGGAACAGCCACTGGACTTTTTGCTTTAAGGGTCTGTACTGCTTATTTTTTCTTCAATTCTTACTGTAGAGTACCGTACACTTCCTATAGTTTGTACTTCATTTATATGAATACCACACTTATTGCATGTTTTCTCTATTTCGATCCAACACTGCAGCATACTGTTGTGGCAGGTTGTCAGAGTCTCTTTATGCCCTCACAACGTACGTACATGTAATATATCCAACACTCAGGATTGAGGTAGAATAGAAACTCACAATGTGTTTCCCGTATATATATTGTTGCACAGCACAGTGTTAAAGAGATACTAGATCAGGCGAAGCTTGCTCAGAGTTCCTGTAGGGTGAGGAGCTTTCTGAGGGAGCGTGTGGTGTGGAGCTGTTGACAGATGTTGCTTGCTGGTGGCGGTAAGTAGAAACAGGTCAATGATGGCCACGTGAGGTCTTACATACCTGGGGTAGGCGTGGCTTGATGGTAGACCTACGCTTTGTTCGGGGGCGCTGGTTGCCTTGTAGTGGATCTCTCCCCTACAAGCCTAGCCGCATTCCAATGCAACAGTATCCTAGCAACCAGCGAGCTGCTGGGGGGGGGGGGGTCGCCACCTGCTACGTCTACCCTAGCAACAGAGTCCAGCAACCGGCGGGTTCCCATGGGTTTGCTTCCGGCTGCTATGTATATAAGCTCTCAGTTTCTCCATTGAGATTCATTCTGCCCTACCTTCCTGAACACGCAACACCTCCTCCAAGCAAGCTCCTCGCTGTCCAGCTCTCATTCAACATGGAGGACAGCAACACGCAACATCTTCTCTAACGAAGCTCCTGCACAGATACCCCCTCAAGCACGCTACTCACTGAACGTGTCTTCTGAGCAAGCTTCTCACCACACGGCATCTCCAGCACCAGACTGTCTTGTATATAATATATTTTATGTAAGAAAACCACCACCTAGAGTTTCCATCCATCCATCCTGAGTGCAAGACAACATATCTTCACGACCTGACCTTGCCCACGAGGCGTACACTGGGGAATTTGCAGGGGTCGGCTAGTCAGCGACACACGGCGTTTGTAGGGGAGGAATCCACTACAACTCCTCATATGGATTTATCATTTGATCATTATTATATAATTGATTAATCTTTTGTTCGATTAAGTCAGTATGTTATTTAACAGCAATGTTGTCCTGCTCCGAATGTGTCCTCTTCCGTTGTCATGCGACAAACCTTCCGTGCGCAAAACCTTCCGGGGTAAATGCTTAATTTTGGATATTAAATTTAATTGTAAAGTTAGTAAAATTTATACAACTTTGGTGGTTCTCAGTTCGCTTTAGTGTTTATTATTTACTTCTTCACGCGGTGCACACATGATCAGCCTCCACCATCGGTTAAGTAGGGTAAGATTTTTTAATGTTAGGTCAGGTTAGGTCAGGATTCCTTGGGCTTGATTGGTTCATTTTCTGTGTTCTTACCCCACAATTTCCATCGACTTCAAAGCACTGCCCACTTTCTGCTTTCATTGTCTTTGGTAGTGAGTATGTTTCATATCCTTATACTGTAGTCAGTTTGTTCAAGATATAATTGAAAATTCATTCAAAACCTTCCGCTACCGTATTTATTAATATTTTCAGCTCTCACAAATCAATCATACATCTTAGATGTCGATAATGAACATCAGTAATTGCTGAGCCCGGAAGGTTTATCGCACCGGAAGATTTGTCGCATGACACCGTCTCGAATCTGTCTTTGTGAACCTTGGCGAATAACGAACTGTGCTATACAACGCGCGCTCAAAGCAAAATTAGGTGAATTTGATTTTTTACGCCAGTTCAAATTACCCCAAACGCCTTATAGGTTTATTGAGGTCGTCTGTTTTCAAGTAACGGTTTTCTCCAACATTATACAGTACAATATAGTTCTGTTTGGCCTTTAATGATACTGAACTTACCTCGTCGTTCACGTTAGTTCAATAAAAAAGTATATATATACAGTATATATATATATATATATATATATATATATATATATATATTAAAAGCGGAGATTTAAAAAACATAAGAATATACAAACATTTAGTATATATATTCGGGTATTTAATCTCATCATTTGGTAATATGAGACATCATGTTTAAGTATATTATGTGTCCCTCCTGCGCACTATTACTCAGAGGGAATGAATGAACCATGAGTCACCCCCCAGCATTTAATTTCCCTTGGCGTCAGGAGAAACATCCCTAGCAACACACTAGGCTAGGTTAGGCTCAGAAATCTACTGACTGAGTGCTTATCAATTCAAGTAGAGGTATTCAAACCTACTTTTAGTCAATGCATTTTCCGACATTAGCATTATCTAAATGTAGGTTTGAATACCTCTACTTGAGTTGACAAGCATTCAGTCAGCACTGTAGTGGATTTCTCCCCTACAAACGCTGTTTGTCGCTGCGTAGCCGACCCCACGAATTCCACAGTGTGTGCCTCGTGGTCTAGGTCATCCAGCGCCGCCATACATCACGGAGCGGGGGTCAACTACTAAGCCACGCCTACCCCCTGCTATTTAAGACCTGACCTCGTGGTGACCTGTCTCTTTCTACCTACACCAACCAGCCAGCAACACCTCCTCCTCCTCCGCCTGCCTGGTGGTCCTCGCTCCCGCCGGCGAGCATGGCGACCCACAAGCTGGTCCTCCTCTGAGCACCCTCACCAACCAGCTCTCTCTACATCACGCTTGTAACCATGCTGCCTTCCCAGCACCAAGCTGCATTGTACATCCAATACAACATGTATATAGAGAGCACATTGTGAGTTTCCTTTCTCCATCCCATCCTGAGTGAGAACACAACATCCTGAACCCCACAGCACCAACCCCGGATATCTAAAACTATGTGATTCCTTCAGAGTTATTTAGGGATAGAGAGAGAAGCGGGGATCCAGTCACCGCAGCTTCCGACACGAGAATGAATGTTTTCTAGGAACGTTTGTCGTGCATGCGTCATCGATGCGTTCACCCTCGCCCGAAGCTTGTCATTAATTCCCTTTATATCCCTTGTCTTAGCTGAATACCTAATGTCTATTCGTCATACCTCGGCATGTTTCGTGTTGTCAAAATATTACAGAATTTACAGTAGAGCAAGGTAAGAGAGGAATGCTGCGTACAGTAAATGTATTCATAACAGGAAAGTAAAGTTCATAAAAATAGAAAATAAACAATGAATAGACCAACTTCCCGAATGGTTAGTAATCTGGTATTTGCTGAAGTGGTGAATTGAAAAAATAATAATTAATTACATTTATATAACCTACCAAGGATTGCAGACTGGAGGACAGGCACGAATGAAGTTCTTCCTCGTCCTATCCACTATTCTTCCTCCTCTCGTATGAAAGTTCTTCTTTAACTGTCAGCAGCTGGTCGCCTCTATTTAAGAAATATGGAGATAGAGTCGATATTAAGATATTGCCTACTCAATTCAATTCAATTCAATTTCAATTGTTTATTCCTAGATAGAGGAAGCGGAATCCTAGTGCTGTCACTAGGTACCTGTACAATAACACCAGAAGCATCTGGCAAGTGTGACAAGTACATACAGTATAAATATTATAAAGGGGCTTACTAAAGCTTAAGGAAGGAAGGAAGGATATTCCTTTAACACATAATCAATGTTATTGCCTACTCTTGTAAGAGAATATATTGATCCTAAAAGAAACTATCGGACTTCACGTGACAGCTGATAAACACGATGGCAGGACAATAAGACAGTCAAGTGTGGTGGATCGCTTACATTATTTACAAACATTTACGAAGATGAAAACTATATCCCCTCTAGAAAAAATCGGTAGTATTTTCCGGTGGATATTCATAATTGTGAACGTTTTTAGAGTTCGTGTCTTCAGTAATTTCTTTTGGAGCTGCTTGCACAGAATCACGTGTTCATTACCTGATAGTCCGAAATACGTCATGGTGCGACTCAACCAATCACAGGCGGTTGCGTCATTAGTCTATGTAACCATTGGCCGTCAATGATGAAATACTAAGCAGCCTTCCTGAATCTTCTGCATGTTGTATTCATTAAATAAAAGTTAATATTTTAGGAGTCACACATTTCTAATTTCCTTGCATGAATTCTAATATCCAATACTCTCATAAAAATGAAGAAAACAAATTACAGGGAGTTCCAAGGGTGAACTCGGGAAGGTATTGATCGTGTGCAAGGGTGGCGGAGGTCCCGTATAAAGCCGGCAGCAGCGGCTCGGTTGGCATTTGCAACCACGTGGTGACGTCGATCTCGCGCACTCTGTGACCGAGTCCTTGTCGAGTGCACTTGCACGTGCCCTTCTAGGGGACTTAAGCTTCTCCAGTCTTTGGGGATGGTCAAGAAGGCAGGGTCGAAACTAGTGAAGAAGTCCAAGAAGCATGGCATTCCTCGCGATGAGTTGGTAAGTAGCTGGAGATAGGGCGGGCGGCGGTGGGCGTAGGTGTGGGTGGGCGGTGTGGCCAGGGGTAGATTAGAGGACATTGAGGGGGGAATGTGCCCTGTAATGACGCGGCGTCCCGTCCCAGGTCACCGTCAAGTCCGACCTCATTTTGTTGGCGCCAGAGTTCGAGGACATCGAGGAAAAGAGGCTGGAGGGATCCACCTGGAGCCGGCCGAACCAGCGTGACCCGGAGGACCCGCACAAAGGTCAGTTGAGACGGTGGGCGTGTCTCTGTGGGGATGGGTCATCACCTACTGGGTGAGGGGACCTTGTTTCTGACTGAGGGAAGGTGGGGCTTGAGGAAGTGTGGACGAAACATCTTAGGTGTGTATGTCAGTGGCCACAGTCTTAACACCTTCCTCATCTCTTAACCCACTATGTTACGAGTGTGATTCAGACGCAGTACATTCTGATATTCTAACCGATATATTTTGAACCACGAGAATGTGAACTTTATTGTCCTCTGTCGTGATACAGTCAGACGCGTCAGTGTACACACACACACACACACACACACACACACACACACACAAATTTATATGTAATAGTGCAGTAAATATTTCATCATGGCTACTTTTTTAAATCGGTCGTTCATTTTATATATAAGCTGTGCGGACTCATTAAAAGTTAAAATGAATGAGAGTGAGCCAGTGTGGTGTTCGGGACAGCAGTGAGGGCGTCGGGTGTCCCTGGAGCAGGTGGAGAAAACGCGTGTCACGTGTGCTGATGCCGCCGTCACCTGACCTACTTTGTTTTGCTGCTCAGAGGTTTATGTGTGCTGTAGATTGTGCTGCTCTGGGCAAAGTTATTCACGATTATATAACTGTCATATATTCGAGTCCTTTATTAACTACGGAAATAAAGCAGCGTTAAAGCCTCCTTTTGAATAGACTGGATCCTGGGTGTGGCAGACAATGAAACGAAACATTTTGATAACGTATGTTTATATGTATTCTTCCTGCTCCCACACGCAGGGCACCTCACCACGTTCATTCACTGAGAAAGAAAATATAATCCACTAATGGAACAATGCAAAGCCAGTTTTTTGTGTGAAACCGATAAAGAAAATAACTGCAAAAATGTCTGAATAATCGATAATAAATTTATAACCTGCATTCTGACGCATAAAATTCAAGTGAGCGATGCCTTGTTCTGTGACCACGACTGGAAGAGTGCCTTGGTCTCGCTAAAGATTCACCCTCCCTTCTTATTTCGCCTGATGATTAAACTCGTAACATCAACCTGACATTACCTAACTTAAACCAACCTAACCTTAGCTAATATATCCTACCCTAACATAACCTAATATAATTTAACGTAATATCACCTAACCCACCCCGAGATAGTGTTAGGTGTTTGATCATCAGGTGAAATAAGTCAAGGGCGTGAATCTTCAAGTGATCTGCGCTTTGTCCTATGCCATTCTGATAGGCTACCGTACTCTTATATAATACTGTAACCTTAAAGTAATTCATAACATAACTAAGATAATAAGAAACTTATAGTAATTTCTTATACTATAGAATATGCTTTTGTGGATTCTCGGAATAGTATTTTTAGGAGCTACTATAGCGTGCGGTCTACAAGATATTCAGGTTAGGTTAGCTTACACTAAGGATATCTTTCCAGGCCGCACGCTATAGTAGCACCGTATTTTTGTCATTTTACATCTTTGGGAATATATTTAAATCAATCAATTTATGTAAATTTCATTTATTCGTCTTTACTGTATTTAAAATTTCCACCAAATTCCGCAATATTTCATTAATTATTTGAGAATTTGTTATATACGAGTACTTTTTGTTGATCCGCTGATAATGCTTTGTCCAGTTGTCTGTTTACACTTTACAGTATTTAACTGTTGTGCCGTTTGCGGTATAGTAACGGTGTTTTGGGTAATGGGGAGTCAATGGTCATATGCTACCCCCAGCCCTGGGACATGAGCAATATTTACAATACAATTTATTTTCTCATTATATCATGTGCAGTATACAGTATATTAAATTTTACAATGCCAAGATGATGGTGATTGGAGCTCCCTGATAAATTTCTAGATCTGCAACCAACACACTGCTAGGCTGTGTGCAACTTGGCTGGGAGTTTAATGCATTTAGTTAAGATACGTCAATAAAAGTCAACGTGAAACGATTGAGAGAGCTGCTGAATGTTAAAACATCAGAGCAATGAGAATTGTGTTTTATATGTACTCGTAGTTTTATTTATTGGTGATGACTACTGTGTTTACTAATGTAGTTGAAACGCAGTAATACGTTATAAAAAAGTATATATATATATATATATATATATATATATATATATATATATATATATATATATATATATATATATGCAAATAAATCACTGTAGGTGCGCGTGATCCAGGTATATGCTGATAAGGAAAAAGAAAAACACGAAGTTCCCAAGCGCTATCGTTTTCTTTTTCCATATATATATATATATATATATATATATATATATATATATATATATATATATATATATATATATATATATATATATATATATATATATATATATATATATATATATATATATATATATTTTTTTTTTTTTTTTTTTTTTTTTTATATACCCCTCTCCCTTACATTAACAAAGTATTCTCATATCAGATAATATTCTTTTTAGCATTATTTTAGAAACCAGTTTTTAGTGTAAGCTGTGAGTGTCAAGGTCACAGAATCAAATCAAGAGACAAACAAGCTCGTGTCTGATTGAATGTAAATCACACGTTCGACGTGTCAGGAATAAACGAATAAACTTCTTCATACCTGTTGAGGGCCCCATTAAGCCATATTACTACTTTTAATGTAAATTACCTATATACGTACAGACACGTGTTTACAGATGAGTATTACATGAGCTCCGAAAGTCACTCGTATGAATGGATGGACTTCAAAATCACTGTTTTTGCCGCAGCCTCCTGAGACATGAGTTTCAACAACTCCATTTACATTCGTTTCAAGAAAGTGTTCTCATTATGACTGCCGAATCCCCAAACACCTAAAACTTAGCAAAAGTAGGTCAGGTTTGAGTGAGCAGACGTCTGCCACGTTGTACGCCTCCCTCCACCACTACTCGTCTCAACTGTCACAAAAGGAGAATTATTGTGGTGATGGTCGATCAGTGTCTCCTTCCTTTACACTTTGTCGGGAGAAAAATACAAGAAGACTCTATACAAGTGATGGTTTCTTTGTTTCCCCTGATACCTTTTGTGTGTACCCTCGCGTTTAGCAGAATGTCTTCTCTTTTTTTTTATAATTCCCTCTGGTATCATTTTAAATTTTGACACAAGAACGTGGAAATAATATCTGACACAGACCATTTCACTTTTTATGAAATGCTTTTCGTAATTGTATTTAATAACTGATGAGGCGTCCTATAATGAGGGAGGTAAAAATATAAATGTCATGAGCGGGGCATTTACTGCCCTTGAATGTGCCAGTAAATGATGCTTGATTGCAGTAATTCAAGAGACGCCATTTTTGAGACTCATACTTTCTTTTTTTGTACTGAGAGGCTTTTTATTACAATATTTAATTTCTAATGCGATATATGGTGATAATGCTTTATGTTTAATTTCCTGCCTAGAAGTGATATTGCCATTGCAGGAATTTGTTCTTGAGTTTTGACCATCTTTATCCAAAATTACATCACTTTTACTTTTATCCTCTTCACCACTGATCGGCTCGTTAGCCGCTTCGGCGATCGGTCACGTCTGTCAGGCACTGTTGGCAAGTACTGGGCATGCACCGGCTCCTGAATGTACCTGAACCCGCTCCAGTGACGGTCAAGTCTTGTCTCGAAAGAGCTCACACTCGGTGCCGTCACAACACTCTCTGGTAGATTGTTCCAAGAGTTCACAACTCTCACTCCGAAAAAGTTTGCCCTCACAGTTTTCTGGACTTGCGGCTTCTCAAATCTTGAGCTGTGACCCCTTGTGGGGCGAGCGTCCGCCAGCTCCAAGTAAGGACACTCGACTGAGTAGTGCCCCCTGAGATGCTTATACACCTCAACTAGGCCACCCCTTGCCCGTCTGTAGTATAAGCTTGGCAAGTTCAGGCCACTCCAATCTCTCATGGTAGCTGAGGTACCGAAGTGCAGGCACCAGTCTGGTGGCCCTTCTTTGAACATTTTCAACCAACTGACAGTCCCTAGCATATCTTGGGGACCAGACGGGGTGACAGTACTCCAGATGGGGAAGCACTTCACTGTTGAAGATCGTTACGAGCGATGGACCGTCTAGATATCTGAACGACCTTCTTATAAGACCCAATAATTTATTTGCCTGATTTACCTTCTTCTCGCAATGGCCCGAGAACTTCAGCTCATTGTCAACATACACACCTAGGTCCTCACATTCAGTCTCAACTAGTGCAGTTTCTTCATCCCGATGAGACATATGATACGCCTCCTTACCGTTGGTACGCCCCAGGTGCATCCTCTTACACTTCGTGGCATTGAATCTCAGCAGCCATTTCGTCGACCATTCTTGGAGCCCACAGAGGTCCTTCTGCAGCTCTTCACAGTCCGCTTCGTTCTTGATTTCCCGAAATAACTTGGCGTCATCGGCAAACATTTGTATGGAGGAGTGTACAACGTCAGGCATGTCATTTGTGAAACAAACAAACAACAGCGGGCCCAATACACTGCCCTGTGGTACCCCACTTGTGACTGGTACGGATTACGATTTCGTGCCATTAATCACCACACACTGCTTGCGGTCATGTAGAAAGTCTTCTATCCACACTAGGACATTTCCCTGAATTCCGTACCCTTCCAGTTTGATTTTCAGCCTTTCATGGGGAACATTGTCGAAAGCCTTGGCAAAATCTAGGTAAATATTGTCGATATTACCACCCCGTTCCAGAATATTGGTCCAAATATCCAATACCTTGAGCAATTGTGTTAAGCAGGAGCGCCCCGGCATAAAACCGTGTTGGCAATCCTTTACAAGGTTGTTTCGTAGTAGGTGTTCCATTGCGGCATCTCTGATAATACTCTCAAGTACTTTACATATGCTGGTCAGGCTCACCAATCTATAGTTGTTCGTGGAGTAACGATCGCCCTTTTTGAAGATAGGACTCACATAAACCACTTTCCATTCACTGGGGACCTCTTGTTCATCCAGGCATTTACAAAACAGGATCTTCAGGGGCTCTGCAAGCTCGTTGCACAACTCTCTTAG